GCAATTCAATTTCCTGTAGCTTTCACATCACATCAAACAATAAGCCATCCCCAGTTCATGTGCTGTATCAAAACAAAACCACAGCAGGGTGGATCATGTCTGTAAGTGAAAAGTCGACCAAGGGGCCCTGATTTCAAATCCCAGTATCCCTGTATACATGCACACTTGAAGACTATTTATACATGTGTCAAACCCAAAACTATATGCTAAAAGAAAAAAGGATTGTCTGTTGTATGTAAATTCTATTTCAATGAACTTAACTACACCTTCAGAGTGCCAGAATTACATGTAAGCACCACATCATGTCCTTTTGTTTTTTGTTTTGCAGGACTAAGGACTGAACTCAGGGCCTTGCACTTGCCAGGCAAGTGCTCTTCCACTAAGCTAAATCCCCAACCCTTTGTCATGTCCTTTTTAAATGTACTAAGAACTCTATAGCATCATTTTCCAAATTCAAGTGTCTAAATAACCCCACAGGGTCCTTCTGAATATAAAACCCAATTATCCTTTGTAGGCCTTATTGAAAATCTAGGGTATCCTAATTTTATATTAGCACAGGGCACCTTTAAATGGATTATTAGATAAAAGCATTTATCCACTGGTCCTTCCAGTGAGTAACTCTGAAAGTGCTTATGTCATTAAACTGAATTTATCTCAAAACCTCTTAAAAGAAGGAGATCATGGTCAATAGTTTTGAGTTTAGTTCTAGTGTAAGTTTAATTTTAGAGTTCAAGTCCTTAAACAATAGCCTCTTCGTGAAAGTTGAGTACATCAGAGAAGGTTTACGTTATTCTGTGTAGTTTTTCAAGTAGAAAAACACTGAAACAGAAAAACACTGATGAAAGAATGTGGCTTTCTATATAGTTCACTGGGTAATTCACCTGTTCAATCAAAAATTAACCCTCAAGAAATGCTTAGTTCAGAAGTAAAATATAGTGGGGCACCAGTTATTCACATATATAATTATAGCTACTCCAGAGTCTGAGATCAGGAGGAACAAGGTTCAAGGCCAGCCTGAGAAGAAAAGTTCAAAAAACTGTTTTGCTCAATCCATATAGCTGAGTGAAGTAGCACATGCCTATCATACCAAGCTACACTAGATGCTGAAATTAGGATTATGACTGCAGGCCAGTCTAAGCAGAAAAGTCTACAAGACACTGTAGCAAAGGAAGCTAGATATGATGAGGCATGCCCATGATCTAGCAACTACAGGAAGTCTAAAGTTATGCCCATTCCAGAAAGGAAGTGAGACCCTGTTCTAAAAAAAAAACAAAATGCCAGTAACAAACAGCTGGGGGTATGGCTCAGTTGGTATCACATCAGCCTGCCAAGCCAGAAGCCCTGACTTCAAACTCAGCACTACCAAAACAACCAACCAATACCACCTACCCAAGCATCAGTAGCTCGTGTCTATAATCCTTGATACTCAAGATGCTGAGATCTGAGGCTCTCAGTTCAAAGACAAGCCAGTCAGGAAAGTCCAAGAGACTCTTATCTGCAATTAATCACCAAAAAACCAAAAGTGAGCAGTGGCTCAAGTAGTAGAGCATTGGCCTTGAGCACAAAAGCACAGGAACAACATGTCAGGCCAGGAGGAATTTAAGCTCCCAGACTAGTGCTCACACACATAATAATAGAATCTCTGCAAAGGTCTTTCCACTTGTTCATAAATTTCACTGTAATATTTTAATGACAATACTCAATAAAACACTTTAGAAATTAGTCTTATGTATCTATAGAACAATTTAAAAGAAAAAGGGAGACAAGGAGGAAGAAAGAATGAATTATGTAAATTTTTCTAACTTAGTCCCCAATAGGCCAGTCCCTTGCTAGTTCAACTGCAGGGTTTCCCACAATTCATTTCCCATCTGTAGCACACAGATTCCCCCTTCCCCCACCTCTGGAAAGTGGGATCAGTTGTTTTTTATGCTTTCTTTTCTGACATCCCTTTTTAAACAATCAGTTTCAAAAAAAAAATGCAATGAAGAAGCTAACAAAAAAAAGTTTACCTTACTAACTACAAGTCTTTATTTTTATGGGAAAAAATGCATTTTCAGCTGTGACCTCTAAACTAAGAAATTTAGAATATTGTTGTAATCCATATGATCCTCTACTTAATATTCATAAACTGCATATAACATAATATAATAATTTTTAAAAGAGCTGAGAATCATTTTAGTTCTTTTTGCATAGAAATCCAAGAATGCATTACTCCATATATGTTTTAAACATTTTTTTTCTTAAAAAAGCATTTGACATTTAGTGAATTCTTTTTATCACTACAAACTCCAAAGGTCCTTTTTTGTGCTCTAGCTCAAGAGTGATTTCCCAAGCTACTGCCACGGATGGCAGAGAAGGGGGAGGTTTAAAAAACATCTTTCCAAATGATTAATTTCTTTGGCCTCCTTAAAAACTAAAGAGGCAAACACTGGATTTTAATCTAGCAAAGATGTCAGCTGCTACCCATGACCTCTCTTTTGAGAAGTTCACAAAGGTCACAAAGTGTCTCAGCCCTCTCCAGTGGAAAGGTCACACATTCACAACAAAATTATTCTCCATCTCCACTGGAATCTCCCCCATGATGCCAGATGGAAACGTATATAAAATTCCCAAGGGTTTAAATTTTAAAAAGAAATGGCAAAAAGGACAGATTGCTTGTTTTAATGGGATTCAAAACTATGTTGCAGAATATTAAGCAAACACCTACCAAACGTCCTCAAACTTAGTAATACAACAGTTCCAACATTCTGCCTCAGTGCTTCAGCTTGATTCTCTTTCATTAACATGAAGACACTCTTAGGGAACAACTACATCATAATGAAGAGTTACATTAGAGATAGATATCATGTATTAAGCTTTAATATTTCCCAGATCCAAAACTTCTCTACCATTAAGACATTCCTAAACAACATCATTTCCTTTGATGATCCTGGACCCAGAAAAAAACACATGCTTACAAAGACAATGATGTTCTCAACAATTTCTTCAAAACTAATAAACAGTAAATTCTAACTGAACAAAGTCACATGAAAGAGCCACACTAAATTTCCTCATCACTTTATCAGACTATCTGTATTAGCTGCTAAACATTATTTTGCAAACTGGAACCAATTAGCAAGTATTCCATGAGAATTTGGGAATGGAAAAATCCTACATTTGCAGATGGGAGGGCATTTGGAACTCTTTAAAAAATTCACTAGGTGGCTCAAGCTTGTAACCCTTAGTACTAAAGACAGGCTGAGATCTCAGGAACAAGGTTCAAAGCCAGGCCATCCAGGAAGACTCTGATCTCCAATTAACGACCAAAAGTCTGAAAGGGGAGTTGTGATTCAAATGATAGATCACCAGCCTTGAGCAAAAATGCTAAAGGTTGGCACTCCGGCCCTGAAAAAAAAAAAAATCCAAAGACCTAAGAGTAACAGGGATGTATTACAGAAAGTCAGTTTTAAGATTTTTTTTTTTCCAGGTACTGACAAAACTATAGGCCTATGTAAAATAATTTACAAGTGAAGTTTTGTTTGAATTCCAATTCCCACTCCATTAATCACCTACCTCTAAGGAAGCGGTACCATATATAAGGGTCACTTTTTCTTTAAAGACATATCAACACAGAAGAACTCATGAACAAAAGGGACAACTAGACAAACTAAAACACTGCCCCCCCCAAGCAAATTACAGAGCTGCCTTTCCAATCACTCTGCTTGACAGTGACTGGAAAACTGTAATAGCAGTCTTCAACAAAGCTGGGTTAGGAACAGAAACTCAGAAAAACATGAATGCTTTCAAAAAAAGAAAAAATGCTGGGCCTGAGCGTGTTAGAATCAGCCTTCAAAAAAACAACAGAACACACTCAGTCCCATCCAAATTTCCTAACTAAATAAAAGTCAGTGACTACCAGGTCACTAATCTAGTGCTTGGAACTCTGGGGAAGAGGGCAGGCACGCAGTGCCTAATCTCCTAGGTATGTCTAAATTGCTGAAGGGGGAACACTTAAGAGTCTCATTACGCTGAGAGAGAAACACGCAACTGCAAGAGAGTTAAAATCCTTATTTTCAACTGGGCACAGGTGATGGTACTTGGGCGCAACAGATGACACCCACCTATCAGACACAGCTTCTAGAACCAAAGAAAAGGAGCCAAAGACAGCTAAAAGTTCAGAGGTGATCCAAGATAACCATCAAAAAGATTAAATAAATAAATTAAAAAAAAAAAGACCGGGTCCTGAGGGCATAGAGTTCCCCTGGGGAAGCCGAAGGAAGACTGGGGAGTGAGGCCGGCCAGGCCAGGCCAACCATCATCCACATGGGGGACCTCCCCTGTGAAGGTCGGCAGGACTACCATCATCCACTTTGGGGACCCCCCTGTGAAGGTCATCAGGCCCTTACCCCGTCCCCCCTCGTCTCTCCCTAACAAGTTTTCCTATTCCTTCAGAGCAACTAACTTCCTGTCTGCCCCCCACTTTGAGGCCAAGCCTCCACTTCCAAAGCTGGAGGAAGGTGGCCGGGCCGGCGGCTGCGGGCCAGAGGCCCGGCTGGGACTGAGTGGGGCGGGAGGGGGGGCGGGGGAAGAGGAGGGGGAAAAAGGGGTCAGGTTTCAAAACACCAGGCCTGCGGCGAGGGCCGGGGTGTCAGCCTCCAGCCCTCCCGGCCGGGGGGCCGGGATTCCCCGGTTCAGACTCACCCAGCTCCTGAGTTCACTAGGGTTCGGTTTTTGTCCTACCATCCACGGGAGACATTGTGCACCACCACTTGCTGGGGGGGGGGGGTGCTATCCCGTCCCACCTTCTGGCACCCCTGAGGCCATCAGAACCCCGGGGTCGAGCCCGCGCCCGGTCCCCAGCCAGGCCTGACCCACGCGGGCGGGCACGGGCCCCGGGAGCGACGGGAGGCCCAGCGGGGCCCGGGGTGGGGTGGGGTGGGGTGGGGGGTCCCAGGGCCCCGAGACGCCCCCCCCCCCCCCGTCCCGCGGCGCCGGCTCGGCCGTGGCCCCCCGGCCCCTACCTTCCTTCACTCCGGGCAGCTTGGACTGGTCGATGCTGACTTCGGCCATGGTGGGCCGGCCGGGGTCCCGCGCGCCCCCGGGGTCCACCGCGCCCTCCCCCGCCCCGGCGGAGAGCCGGCCCCGAGCGCGGCCGCACCGGCGCCCGACGCGGCGCCGAGGTCGGACGGGCGGGCGGGCGGAGCGCCCCGGCTGGAACCGCCGCGGCCGGCGGGCGCGGGGAGAACCGGCGAGAGCGAAGGCGTCCGGGTGCAGCCGGCTGGGGCCCGGCCGCCCCACCTCGCCGCCGCGGCCACCTGCTCCGAGCGCCCCCGCGGCCCGGATCGATACCGCCGATGCCGGAAACAGACCCCGAGCGGTCCACTACGGAGGGAGAGAGGAGCCAGAAAGGCGGGCGGGCGGGCGGGCGGCGAACGCGCGGGCGGGCCTGGCGGGGGAGGGGGAGGGAGGGGGAGGGGGAGGGGAGCTGCAGGTCGGAAACCTGCGGTGGCTTCTGGCCCTGGGAGGCTTGGGGCCTTGTCCCCAGGCCTGCCTCCCTGCCCCCAAGAACGTGTCCTTAGGTGTCCTGAAGGCCCCCTCCCCCCCAAAAAGCCATCCAGACCGTGATCTGGGTGGGGACCAAACAGCAAAACCCAGACCGGGATGGTTCCTATCAGAGGTGTTTGTGCTCCAGTGCTTGGTGCTCACAGGATGCTTCCTGCACACCTAGCTCTAGCTCAGGCTCCTTTTGCAGGTCGGCTTATGTACCCATCATGGAAAAGGAGATCATTTAGGGAGTTAGCAACAACAACAACAACAACAAAGGAAAGAAAAAAAAAAGCCTCTCAGACAACACATTCAGTTTGAAAGAGCTGCTAAAATTCTGAGCTAGAGATTCGAGTAAAATGTTCACAGCCAGCTGGTGGAACCGAGCTGAGTCATTCATTCATCAAAAAGAAAAAAGCATGTCCATACGTTTGATGTCAGATGAGGGGGAGGCAGGGGTGTGATTAAAATAAAATAAAACAAAAAACGGTGTCAGACTTAATACTCCAGCATGACACAAATAGGACTATAATTGTAACATTTCTACCTCTTGCAAACAGACAACCTTGCCCAGGTCATCTCATGGTAACATCTCCTGTTGGGAAGACGATCCCTTTTCCCTACTCAGAGAAGGACATCCTGTCCTCAGCTTGTGCAAACATAGAACCTGGGCACCCTAGCCAATCTCTATCTCTCTCCCTACACACACACACACACACACACACACACACACACACACAGAGGTTTATCAAAGGGTGTGTGTTAGTCCAATAGGCTCCTTTCTGATAGCTAGCATGCTCCTTTCCTTCCCAGGACCTGGCAGGCCCCTTTCCCAGAGTGACCAACACTAGGCCCATTTGGTGCAGGCAGTAAATAATCGGCCTCCCTCCTCCTTAACTTGAGATGACTCTCCATTTAGGCCAGTTCCAACCACAAAAGGTTAAGAGGACCCACACTGAAGTTGATGTTCAGTCTGAGCAGCTGCCAGCCCCTTATCTACTACTTGGGCAGCAGCCATAAATCCTAGCCTGCCATGATGAAGTCCCTGGCCCACACTTCCACACTAAGGTTCCTGTCTACCTAGTCCCTTTAGGTTATAAAGGTCACTCAAACAAACACAAGCAGTGTTTCTCCCTGAGAGAATTGGCCTTGTCAGTTCCTTTGCTGGAAATAAGCCTTTCTTTCTTTGTTCTACATGACTGGATGTCTGAGTGGTTTTCTGGGCTGGTTCTTACAGTGTGTGTGTGTGTGTGTGTGTGTGTGTGTGTGTGTGTGTGTGTGTGCGCGCGCGCGCACGCGCGCGCGCGCGCGTGAAATCATATGTGTGAAATCAGAGTCAAGAAGTGTTCCCCTATCTTCATTACATAAAGAACACACACAGCCTAGCTACTCAGGAATCTGAGATTTCAGGACCTGGTTGGAAGCCAACCTAGGCAACAAAGTCTGTGAGACTCTTATCTACAATTAACCAGCAAGGAAGGAAGGGAGGGAGGGAGGGAGGGAGGGAGGGAAAGGAAAGAAAAGAAAGAAAGAAAGAAAAGAAAAGAAAGAAAATAGCTGTGCCTCAAGGGGTAGAGCATCAGCCCTGGTGTAAAAGCTAAGGAACAGCACCCAGTGCTCTTTCTACCCCTTCCTCCCCCCTCCTTCTCCCCCTCTCCCTTCCTCTCTCCTCTGCCCTCTCTCTTCTGCCCTCTGCTCTCTTCCTCTCCCCCCTCTCCTCTCCCCATCTTCCTCTTCCCTTTCCACTCTCTCCTCTCCCCTCCCTCCTCCCCCTCCCCCAACAAGTAAGAAGTAGATGCTGAGCAGGAGAAGAAAGTCGGTCCTCAGTAAAGAAGCTGAACTGTACTTAGAAGCAAAGATAAAAAGAATTCAGGAATCTCTGAGGCAAACAGTAACAAACTAAGATATTACTACAAGGCAGCAGGGATGGCTTCTGTCCTGAATGTAACCATCTCTGAATTTATCTTCAGTTATAGTTAATGGAGTAAAAGTTGGTTTCCTGTCCTTATCAGCTCTGTGTTCCAGTATTAGAGGCCAGGAAGGAAGAAAGGTTTTACTCTGACTTGACAATGAAAAACAAGCAAACCATAGGCTAACAAAGCCAGACCTTAAGATAGTAAAAATCTAGTAGACAGATTTCTGAGCTAGAGGTAGAAAACTACAGTCCACAGACCAAATCTGTCTCACTGTTGGATGACTATATGTGTTAAAACTATCTCATTTTGAATGATTACATAGGATGTATTCTAATTTTGTCTCATAAGCCCAAAGTTAAAATATTATCACATTCTTTACTGAAAAAGTTTGTCCAAGCCGGTACTAAGGCAGAGAGGATGCTCAGTAAGTTAAATATGTGACTAAAAATAGTTATCATCAGAAAACTAGATGTCTATTTTTAATGGTCTTGCTGTTAATTTATGTTTATATTCCTGTAGTGATAGTGTAATAGTCTTTTCTGTTCCTCTCCCTAACTCTGCAGTTTGTACTTCGCTACAGAGTTCTGCTGTGCGGATGATACATCAGTCCCCTGGCTGTGTGGCTACCTGTTGAGCTTGTGCATTGAGAAGTACTGTCAGATGATCAAAAGAAAGAAGAGAAATGCATTCTTCTCCCTTATGTTAAACCAAAAGTTGGTCATTCTTATGTCCTAGAACTATAATGCCTGTCTAGAGGCATGGTCTCTTCTCACAACTTCAGTTCTTATGGGTTTGTGGTGTGTGTGTGTGTGTGTGTGTGTGTGTGAGTGTGTGTGTGTGTGTGTGTGTGTGTGTGTGTGTGTGTGATGCTAGGTTTGAACACTTGCTCTCCTGCTTCATGGGCTGGTACTCTTCCACTTGAGTCACATGGCCCTTTTTGCTTGTAAGAGTCCCCAAGTTCTTTTTAGATAGGATTAAGTTTTTTTGTTGTTTTTTTTTTCTTTGCCTTGGGGCTTGAACTCTGGGCCTGGGCGCTGTCTCTGAGCTCATCAGTTCAAAACTAGCACTCTACCACTTGAGCCACAGCGCCACTTCCAGTTTTCTGAGTGGTTTATTGGAGATAAGAGTCTCATGGACTTTCCTGTCCAGGCTGGCTTTGAACGATGATCCTCAGATCTCAGCCTCCAGAGTAGCTAGGATTACAGGTGAGAACCACCAACGCCCAGCTAGGATTAACTATTTTTGCCTGGGGCCAGCGTGGACCTCATTTTACTTACACCTTCAACTTAACCCACTCAGCTTTTTTTGATTAAGTAGTCTGTCACCTCTCTCCTTTTTCTGTCTGTGTCTCTGAGTCTCTGTTTTTCTCTCCTCCCTCTCCCCCCCTCTCTCTTTCTCTCTCTCTCTCTTTCCCTCCCTCCCTCCTTGTGTACATACACACACATACCACCTGGGTGGACCTCTAATCATAATCTTCCCCAATATCTGTCTCTGGAATACCTGGGATTACATATAGAAGTCACTACACCAAGCCTCTCATGGTTTCTAATGCTATCATTTCCTTCCAACTCTTCAGGTTTAGGATGTTAATGGCTTCCTACTGTGATAGTTTATGTAACCCTGGCATCACCTCTGCAGTCCCTTACATTCTTTTCAGATAGTCATTTTGATGGTGACCGACTCCCTTTCTAGACTCTGAGAGATACAATAAGATATGCCATAAGGGCACTGCTTTTTTTTTCCCCCTTAAAAATGTCATTTGTGGCCTTGATACAAAAGAAAATACATCTAAAAGGCATGGCTATTGTTCAGGGCATGCTTACTGAGCAGTTTGCCTTCCAGAGAAAAAGTAATGAAAAGGGAGCAGGAACCTCATCTAGTTCCTAGAAAACCCCAGTCAAGCTTTCCTTCTGATTCACATCCACTATACCTGCCCACAACAGGACCAAGCAATTAGAAGCCAGGGTTAGGATCAGACTCCTTCAACAGAGGTCTGAAAGGAGCAGGAGTAATAACTAAATATTTTTGATGAGTTATTCTTTTTACAGAAAGTGTTGTAGTAATAGGGAATGAATATATAGTGAGTTTCTATAACTAATTTATATTTCTTAGTGTCCCAAAATACTGAGTTTTGCCAGGTAAAAGAACCCGCTTCCCCTAGGGAATTTAAATCCCTAACATGGGGTGGAGCATAAGCAAATAATTCAGGGCCAAATCACAACTTGACTGACATACAGAGAAATAAGAATTTTACTCCAGAAGCAATATGGAACTGCTGATTGATCATTTAGGATGTGATTTTTTTTCTACTTTAAGAAGAATAAGCTTTATAACACATGCCTATTATTCCAGCACATGGGAGTCCAGGATAGGAAGATAAGAGTTTGAGACCAGCCTGAGCTACAGAGTGAGGACCTGTTTAAAAAATCAAGGGGGCTGGGAATGTGGCTTAGTGGTAAAATACTTGCCTTGCATGCATGAAGCCCTGAGTTTGGTTCCTTAGTACCACATAAACAGAAAAAGCCAGAAGTGGAGCTGTAGGTCAAGTAGCAGAATGATAGCCTTGAGCAAAAGAAGCTCAGGGACTGTGTCCAGGTCCTGAGTTCAAGTTCCAGGACTGACAAAAAATAAAAATAGGGGGTTGGGAAGGAGAAATCTA